AACTGTAAATAATAATTACAGTCAACTCTCGCTGGGGCCGTAATTTAGTGTCCGCAGTACTCGAGAGACCGTAGTAACGGCAGTTATTTTCAGTCCTTTCTTTGTATTTTTCAGTATTTCCTGTCCGTAACATCGAGGCGTCCGTCATAGCGGAGTGTCCGTAAGGCGAGAGTTGACTGTATARAGCGATGAGTGGGACACCGTTACCGCACGGTTACCGCACAGTTACCGGACCTGGCCTGCACAATTTTGGTGAGCCAGTGGGGCACTAGAATTTGGTTACAGTACGATTACGATCACAGCACAGTACCGTCCGTTTCCCACTCATACGAAATCCGTTCTATTTCACTCTCAATACAATGTTTTACAGTGATGTACCAGCGCGAAAAAGAGTAAACGGGAAAAATAGAGGAATAATAAATTCAACCAGACATCGTTCTTTTGGTTCAAAATGATGGATGTTTTAAGACAGCTTTTAGAGTCATTGAGGAATTGTGTACTATTGAATACTATTACCCCCTATTAGCTCCCAATAGTTTAACTAATTAGGCAAAAACGATTTTGATTTTGCCTTTTGGTAGCCTACTACACCCTTGGCTCAGTCTCCAGCCGTCGGGATTTCGTGTGCCCGCGATACTCTCTCCCCTGACGGCTGGGCGCATGGGGTTCGCTATTGTCAGTCTTGACCAATCAGCGAGTGGCCCCCGATATTTTCAGGGGCATATCATTAATAAATTAGCAGGCAGCAGTGTAACAAAATGGCGTACAATTCGTCGTTTGAGATTCTCTTTGAAAGTGCTTGTTTGAAGGCTCTGAAGTCGTTTAGCTTGGACGAATTTAGAGAAATACAGCAAAAGGCTCTTAAAGAGATTGTTCTTGGAAAAGATGTCCTTGTTATTCTTCCTATACTGGCTCGGGCAAATCTCTTATTTTTCAAACAGCGCCACTAGTGTATTTTGCTCGTTTTTCTGGCAGATAATACATCCATTTGGATTATTAAACCCTGCACATGTTTTACTTGGGGTAATTTCCATTCCTTTCTCTTTTTTAAAGCGCTAACTATTACATTATATCGCTACTTCGCGAAGTTTTCATTTCACATAATTTCCCGCCTTGTAGCAAAACCTTTACGGCTGTTGTCAGATATTTCACTTCCGTTCACTGAAAAATTCACTTCCGTTACGTCATAATATGCTAATTACACAAAAACGTCACGGACATGCGCGACACGTTTCGAACCCCATGCGCCCAGCCGTCAGGGGAGAGAGTATCGCGGGCGCACGAAATCCCGACGGCTGGAGACTGAGCCTA